CAGTCGCACTCGCGACCACTCGGCCAACGAGGCAGTCAATATAATAGAGTTTTCAATATAAGTGTATAATTGTATAATGTATATGTCTAGTTTATACTAACGTACTACACTAACATCATTTTCATATGCATACTATATTTTCTCTACAATAACTAACTTCTAATACATACCATTCTCCCAAATTTACAATTATTATTTCTACAATTAAGGTATAAATTGTAGGTATAAATAATTCTTTAGTTGAATTTGATACTTTTTAGTCTCCACAAATACAAAACTCACTTCTGCTATTTCCCTATAGAATGTATACCTATGTGGAATATGTCTATTAACGTTTTTAAGTAACCAATTATTACCATTGTGCTTTGGAACATGCAGCTTTGGCTTGGTGTGTGTTGCGCAAAAGACTGGATTGTAAGTAATTCTTTTTTACCTTAAACACCAGCTTTATATACTGAGCAAAACTAATTAAATTAATTTCAATATAGATCTATCGTCTGTGGGTGCTGAAGTAGAAGCCCATCAGAGTACAAGTTCTGGAAGTCGGTCCCGAGATAGTTCGCGAGGAGGATCACGCGATAGTTCCCGGGATCGTCTCAGTAACTCCGGGACTTTGGAAAGAAAGTCATCTCAACCTCCCAACCCTTTACGTCCGTTGCCAGAAAGTTTGACATTCGATATGAGGTAATTCGTCGTTTGTTTTAGTGGCCATATTTTTTCTCGCTGCCTTTAAAGAGTACTGTAGGTAGTTATTCTACCCACTGTACAGAGAGAAGTCAACCTTTTATTCTAAGTACACCAAAAATATGCAATAATATGCTTTTTTTATTTATGTGATGGTCAAACAGAGGTTTGACTTCAAAAAAGTGTTTTGAATATACAACTTCTGTTTGTTGATCGATTTTCTAGTACCAAACATTATGTTTTCTTGTTACAGAAATGTGCAAGCGATGACAGACATCAAAACAGAAATAGGGTACGCTCGCGCTTGGGTGCGACTTTCCTTAGAGAAGAAATTACTTTCCAAACATCTTCGAGAACTGTTAGCTGACACTACGCTACTACGGTCTCAGTACAAACGGACGGCTTTTCTTCGCTCGGAGGAAGAAAGGGAACAGTTCCTTTATCATCTCCTCACTTTAAATGCAGTGGATTATTTCTGCTTCACCAATACTTATCCCACCACAAGTAAATTGGATTTTTAACGTTAAAATATCTTGTAAATCATCTTGTATTATTACATTTCGCAGTTACCTCTAGATACTTTCTTTTACAGACTGAAAGGAAATAGACTTATGCTACATTTTGTTTGCAGAACTCCCGTATCGAGTCCTCATCGTGCCATCTCGTAAAGCGAGCCAGACAACCGCTAACTGTTGGATCTCAATATCAGGAGCCAATGGCGAATCTACGCCTAAAATACCTATACCACGTAACACTAACGAATTTGTTTTCCATGTGAGTTATTGTTAACAATTAAATTACTCATGTAAAACATCTTGTGAGCTCTAGACTAGTGAGACATTATTGTTTTAGCATAAAAACCTGGGAATTTTATCAACGTTGCGCATTGGACACGACAACTCCGGACTTTCTCCGCGATGGCTACTTGATCAAGTCTACGTGAGGAATGAAGTTACTGGTCATACTTACACGTGCGTTTTTAACTTTTGATACTTCTCTATTTAAATTTTCTATTGTGTGTTTATAGGGAATATTTAGACGAGCACAGTTAATTGGTATGTATGTGCAGGTTCCCGTGCAACCGCTGGCTGGGCACGGGCGTGGACGACGGGTCCACGGAGCGCCTGCTGGTGGCGGCGCGCGTCCGCGCCGGGGCCACGCCGCGCGCCGCCCTGCCGCCCGCGCCCGCCGCCACGCCCACCACCACGCACCTGTCCACGTCCACCATCCAGCACATGATCGGTACTTGCTGCCATTACATGCGCCGCGTGTTCCTTAGCGTCGCCGCGGTAACGCCTTGTTATAACCGGGCAGCGCGCCCCTGCACTACACGGTTATGCTACGGGTGATCGCAGGACAAAAGATTGACCGCTTCAAATATCCTCTCCCTATAAATAACGACTCGCAACTAACTATGTCAAGCATTTTGGAAGCACTGCTATTGAACGCTTCTGTAAAAAATGCAAACATCAATATTTTTGCTAATAACGCAATGCGCTGCTCTCTACTTTCAGATATGTTTTAGTAAACTGTTAAACAAACGAAATTAACTTTTATGATTGTGCAGGTGACTGTGTAAATGCGATAGTAAAGTGGCACTATCAGTCGAAGAGAGAAAAGGACGCAAACTCACTCAGTGTTCTGCTTTGTGGAGAAAACGGACTAGTTAAATGCTTGGAACAAGCTTTCCTATGTGGATTCAAGTCTGTGAGACTCTTTGGAAAGAACCTTTTCATTTGGGATTATTTTGGTAAGTTTGAAATAATGATTTTATGTCAGTAAAGTAAATTCTAATCAAAATAAAGAGCCTAACATCATTTTAAGAAAATATAGTTAGTGATCAAAGTTTCACATAGTTGACTTGATTGGATAGTAACTCACCATTCTATACCTATCTATACAGCTAAGGTGAAAGACGAATTCAAAATGAGTCTATGTGATGAGCCAACATCACAGAACAACAAGAGCTGTGGCATGGCGTACAACTGCCGACAGGACCAGGAACACAGAGCCATCTGGAGATGTTACTGCCATCTCATGGACGAGATCAATTCCGTCGGCCGCACTCTCGGCAAAGACGGGAAATTCCAACTTTTCATATGCCTCAGTTTACGGTAACAATTATTTTAAATTTATGTACAAATTTATGTAATTAAATCATAGTTAAATGTTCAGTTTCTTGGATGAACTTACAAAACATATACATGATGAAGTGCAATTCTAAACTATACCTTTACTAACGAAGTTTTATAACATTACAGTGAGCACTGGCTACATCGAATGCTCGTACCAATGTCAATGACGCGCGTTACCATCGAGATGTACGAGGAACAGAGTTTCCTGCGCAAACGCGGTCTCCTTACATTCCTCAGGCAAATACTCGAGCCATTGGATGAATTCGATATTGTACTTGAACATTCTCTCACGCAAGGCATTTAAATTCATTCATATTGTTAAGTACATTATTTTAAAACTCGTGGTTAAACCAGTTTTAATGGAATCATTCAATGAACCATCAATTTACCACTACAAAATATATTTTTATATGTAAACACAAATACTCACTAATCTGTTATCTTTATTTGATATTAGCAATCAGGGTCTGATTATTTTGTAGTTTTATTGTTAAGTTTAAATGTGATTATTATTTCTGTTAACTTGCCAGATCAATCCAAAGATTTTATTTTTTTATAGAACGGTGCTTATGTATAAGTTCTTATTAGTAGTAAATTTATTTTTATATCTAACGTAACTATTATAGAATACTCAGGTTCGGGTTAGAACGAGCAATTCTGATGAATTACATTGTGCAATGTTAATTTGCTAATAAACTTTTGTCTTTTTTTAGTTGCACATACAATATACAATTTAATATTTGTGAATGATGTAGAGTTTGCTGCATATTTAGCAATACTGGTCAACCTTATTACAGTAACTCATTATGTGTACTCTGAACATGTTGCAATGGGCATATTGTTAGTTTTGCTGAGTATGTTCAGAAGTGGGTTGAATGTGAGTCAGTGTGAGCTTTATCTATCTTCTTTTACGTAATTTAAGAAGAAAGTATGTGAGGTCTTGGTATGAGTTTGTTTTACGAGTAATCGAATCGAGACCGCGTTCGGCGCTCTGATTGGCCGGCTCCTTTGGACCAACTAATGATAGCGTGGAATGCGGTCTCGTTTCGATTACTTTCAAAGTACTGAGGCCTCTGTAATACGGTGTTAAAGTTTATTCTTCTATATCAATCGCTCTTCAGGTATATATTAAAGCACACAATAAACTATCCACCGCATAATTTTAACTATGATTGATACTTCGTATGTGATTAAGTTAGATGTAAGTTAAACCGTTTTGTAATGTGTGAATTTTCTAAGTCGAATCTACATAGCTAAAAATGGTTAAACAATAATAATTTGTAAGTTATAGCTACATAATATTATATCAAATTATCAATTATATCATACATTTGCGGCTAGTGGATTCGACAGAGATCTCGAAATATCTAGATATTAGTGTGTACCCCATTATTATGTCCTTTATTTCTTAATGCTCTTTTTGTTTTATAATTAGCTACAAAACTTTATTCGTAACAAGAGTTGCATAGACATTCTGTGTAATGTGAATTGTCTCTAAATCAGGATATACTGATAAATAGTGGGTGATCTATCAAACTTAAATGATAAATGATGATTATCATAATGCTTATATGTTTTATCATCGTTATCAATGTTCAATTTTAATAAGTGTTAGTTGGCTATACTGTAATATCACTAACATCGGCTTTCATCCTCGTTAGGCAGCTTCGTTTATTTTATCCTCAAGCTTAAATTTCCGTTTTGGTTTTCAGAAGCTCTCTTCTATGTTAGTGTCAAAATTTATTAAGAATAATTAAATGATATTATATATATTATGTAAATCATTCGTCCGGTATAAAAGATATATTTCTTAAATCTTGAACCTAGTTAATATAGATGTTGTGCACTGTATATGAAGCATAAAAATTTCGACTCAATTGTAATAATTATGTTAAGTTTTGCTCTCTTTTAATGGTTGTTTGTAGTTCCTGCCGTCCTGCATATTATCAGTATAATATTATGCTCCTTAACTTTTACCATATCGCATTACTACTAATTAGTACAATGATGCATTTTATGTATTATGTTTTAGTCTACATTCATTAAAACTCATGCACTGAAATTTGTGCCAAACAACTATTCAGTAGTGATAAAAATGTTCGTTTTTATTATTCTTTACCGTATTTTAGTCTTACATTGTCACTTACAAAACAAATCCATTGCAGATGCATGTGAAAGTCTGACCGTATTTTGCGATCACGTATCTATTGTATGTGTATATTAGGCATAGAAAACTGTAGTCAAACAAGATCTTACAAAAATATCATTCTGGAAAAATTTAAATAAAATAAACAACCTATTTTATTGTGTACAAAGTTAACACTTTGCGCTCAGTGCATTACAAAATTAATGAATGGCATGAAATAATATGCTGTTGAAGCATCCCATTCATTTACAATATATGATTTTCTTTGTAACATTTAGTAGTTCCATATTGTGACCATGCATGATGAAATTGGTAACATTCAATGTTTTTATAAGTATTCAAGAAATCTAAAAAATGTGACATCAGTCAATATTATAATAGGTAAGAACCAAAACTCAAGAAAAAAACTATAACAGTTTGCCATCTCGTTCTCATGAATTATATAGGTAGTCAACTCTAGAAAGATGAGATTTATGTCTGCAAGTCTTCCTGAACTGATTAAATAAAGCTAACTATTACCAAAGAATTATAACTGATTTTGTCTCTTACTGAAAGAATTACGGTTATGTCCAATAAACAAAGTTATGGAACTCGTAAGTTTTATTTTATTTGTCCTCTAATTTAATCTTATAAACTTATTAAATTAAATAATGGGGGGTACAATAAAGTAAAAAGATATACGCTATTAATATTATGCAGTAGTGATATCTAATACGCTATTAATGTTATGCAGTAGTGATATCTATCGGAGCTGTGGACAACTTAATGAGTCACAAGGGCTCCAGTTTGAAGCCGGAGTAGGAACGGCCAATACTCGCGACGCGCCGTACGCTCGGGTCTGTTTCTGGTCGGACGGGGAGCCACCCATGTTCGCCGTTCGCAGGCCCGCGCTTACGGTGGCCGGAAATCGTCTCGCGATCCCCGACGCCCGATGTGTACTTCGCGATAGCTGGGTTGCGAGGAGCAGCGTCCCGCCTCCTCCTTAGCTAGCATAACTGCTTCGCAAAAGAAGGAGACGGCATCCTAGTCCCCGTCGCTCCGCATCATGGCCCGCCCTAGGCCCGGACGCGAAGGGTCGCCATCGCCTGAGGACACGGCGGTGCTCAGCCCACGCATAGCCCCCACAGTGTGTTCCACCGTGTCCTCAGGGCGGTCCTCGCAGTGATGATACCTGAGCGTTTCCTCCTGCCCCATCAGACACAGGTACCTCCCGAAACTTTCATGTTCGTTGAGGACCTACGTCAGGCGATAGGTGAGGACGCCGTAGCATCTCTCAAGCCACTCCTCAAAGAGGGGCCTTACCGCTGCGAGCCCAAAATAGTACCGTCTACAACTACATGTAGGTTTTGATTCTGAATCCTAATAATAGAGATTAAAAGGAAATCTAGTGACATGGTTTCGGTCATTTGGAAGGCGTACAAGGGGCCGGAGCCAACTGAGCAGAGGCCCTTTAGACAACTTTAATCTAAATGCAATAGAACACAAACTAGCGACTAGCCCTGTATACACTACGCAAATGCACCCAAGGACAGTCCTCAGTTAGCGTTAAACTATTATAGATAATAGAAAAAATTAGCACTATGCTAACTCGCGCGTTAGTCGCGTGAGCAAAGCTCTACTGGTTTTGAACCACAGAGGAGTTCTTCCTCATGAGCAGCATGCGCGGTCGCTGCGATGTCTAGTATTTAGTGTAAAATAAATATTATGTAAATAATAACTTCTTTGATTTTACAGTTACCAGACATAACAAATACCGACACTACCTACAATGTACTAATTTACAAGGTACATTGTTTATTGTGCATTATTTAGCCATTAGCTACCTACCTACTTTTTTTTTAAGGCGGGAAAATTATCGAATGACTGCTCCCGCCTGGGTGAGGCAGAAGGGAGTGTCAGACTCTTACTGACTAAAAACCACCCCGTTCCTTCTCCTGCACGTCGAGCCGGAGCCCCGGTTACCCGTTAGGTTCTCCGCGACACTACCTACCTACTTAGGATTTTATCTGTAGAGCTTGGTAAAAAAATAATAGGATCCAAATTTCAGATAGCGTTTTAAATTGACTACTTATTAAAAAAAGATAATACTATTTTGCATTAACTATTACTCTTATCATATCAGTGCTATTAATTAAATAATAGTTTATGGTTATTATCATTTCAATTTATATCAAGTTTCAATCAACGGCAAATTCTATGTTGTACACCGGCCTTAACAGTCTGATGTTTCTTTCATTCATTCGTTGTAAATAATGGCAACATTAAAACTACAATAAATAATCTGTGTACTGTTTTAATGATGAAATAAAACGTAATTTTAACTTTGTTTTTATTTCGGGTCTTTAGAAATATTTTTAAATTTTCAACATTATTATGGGAATAAATGATGTACAAAGCGTATATTGGATGATTTACATAATCAATGTATGTAAAAAAAATCATCAAAAAGTTTGACGAAATTTCATATCATTACGCATCAAGCAGATGGCGCTGTACAGCTTGTTTTGTATGCGGTCGTTCGTTCGTTCGACCGACAGATATTCGACAAGTAAGATGGCGGCGATTAATGTGAAAGGCGAAACGTTGTCGTATTTCCACTTGTAAATAAAGTTATTGGTTTGTTGAAATATTATTATCAATATAACGACAACAGAAGACTTAATATTGTATAGTGTTAAACAGCAAGTGAACTGTTCTGAACAACGTGAGGCTTGAATTGCTTTTCATTTCACAATAGACAAAACCCGTCGCAACGAGCACTCGACTAGTCGAGGCCATATTTATGATGTTATCTGTCGTGTGAGCGTCCTCCGAAACCACATTGATAAATGATTGTGGAAAACTAAGGCGATGGTATGTTTCTTTATAAAGATATATACTATAAATTAGCTGACACTATAAAATATGATTCTGTATTGTTCCGTCACTCTGACGCTTGTGTAGTGAAGCGCCGGATTATTTTTGTTCCTGAGGGTCGATGCTTTATTTTGTAATTATAGTTATTCTTAATCATAACTAAAGTTTAGGTTACAATATTTATTTAAATTTCTAATAAAGGTCACTAGTTTCTAATAGGAATAGGATCTTTTCTCTTGTTATTATGTTGCGTTGTTTTGGTCTAACAACCTTTTCTTTTATTTTCAGGAGTGTTTTCTATACAAGAAGAGTATGTAAATACAAAATGAGTTCCAGTGTTCCAAAATAGTGCTAGTAACTATACATATAGATTGTGTTACAAACTATGGATAAAAGTGTGGACTTCTATTGACATATTACATACATTGACATTTGAGCAACACGGAGGTGGTAATGGATCCAGTAGGACCATGGTCAGCATATTCATACAATCGGTTAGCAGGGGTTCAGGCTGGTGCTGCAAGTGGGGATTTTCATCACCACCTAGCAAGTGGTGGCTCTGGATTAGGCAGCCAATCTGTGCCATCAACTACAAGTCAGTTGCTTCTTCAAGCAGCTCATACCACAGCATCATTAGCAGGGCAACTTGGTTCATCAACTGCTTCACCTTTCAATCCTGCTGGTTTTTTGTCTCCACCAGCAGTAGGGTATGACGCAGTGTTTTCACCACTCTTTCATCATGCAAATCCCAAACCTGCACACTACAGTTCTTCTCTTCAAGCACAGCATCGTCAAGTTATAGCTCAAGCTCAGGCTGCGGTTGCCTCTAAGCAATCATCAGTAGAATCTGAACTATCAAGCCTAAGAGAAAATTATTCTCATCAAACATTGGCAGCACAAGGAACGTCATTCTTTGATCAATCATCAACTCCAGGTGGTACTACAGGATTGAGTTGGCAAGGAAATAATCAACTGCCTAGTCCATTTGGAATTTTACCCCATGAAAGTGTTGTACCTTCATCTCCAAGTCCAGCAACAACAAAAGCATCTGCAACTTATGAAAACTTCAATGCACATTTTGCTGCAGCACAAACTTTAAATAATCATCTGAATTCTCAAATTTCAAGTACTGGTAAACAAACAAACAGATCTGGTTCACCGGCAACTGCATCCAAACAACCAGCAACCTCAACATCATCAACCTTTTTCCAATCTCCATCATCTTTTGGAAATCAGACTGATAATTCATATAGTACAAGCAGTGCAAAAAGTGGTCAACTTGCATCACAACAGGATTATGCAGGAAGTAAGTCCTATTCAAGTTCTGCAAGTTCAACTGCTCATTCCCAGCAATCGTGTATAGTGTCAACTCCACCAGTCACCTCTTCCTCAACTCCACCCAGTAAAGACTACAGATCTTCTTCTAGTACCACATCTAGGCCATCAGCTACTATTTACAATTCTCAATCACCTAAAACTTCAAGTAGTAAAGAGCCATCTAGACAAATCACTAATAGCATAAGCAATTTTGTGTCTCCTACAGTCAAAGCACCTCAAGTACAGACAAAGGCTCAAAGTAAAATATATCCTGAATTAAATAGTGAACAAAGAAAAAGTTGTGATTCTAATGAAAAAGTTCAGCCTCAGTCATCCCCAATAAGTTACTCTATTATGGATGCCCCAGGTAGACTAAATTATAGTAGCAGCACCGGAAGTTCTTCAAAAACAAATAGGATCAATAGTTCACAGTACTCCACTACACAAAGTTCTAGTTTTAGACATTATCAAAGTGGAAATAATATAGAATCTGATTATCATGTAAGAGCTAAAAGTAGTTCAAGTACAGATACGGGTTATTCAAGTAGTAGTTCCCAAAATGGCCCTGATTGTGGTGTGGTTGTGCCTAGGAGACAGAGTCCTTCCCAAACTGCACCTCAAACGTCTCCTCTGGACCATGGGTCTAGTCCTGCTTATCCAATGTATCACAGTCCTATGAACTCAATCAATTCTCCCCAACCACATGGTGATCATTACAATAAAGTTAATAGTACTGCACCTCGATCTCCATTAGATGCATCTGTGACACGGTCTCCGTCTCAAAACAGTCAAGTAGCTTATCCTTCTGTAATAACAAGGGCCTTAGGACTTGAACAAAACAAAACTTACAGTGAAAGCAGATATGAACGAAATCAAACACAATCGACTGGTCAAACTTGTTGGGAAGGTGACCGACAAGGTCCTAGAAAATATTCTAGTAATAGCAGTAGTAATAGTTACAATAATGGTGTAACAGAAAGTAATACTCATAATGATGATTCTGTTCCCCAGAATCAATCTTCCAGTAGGGTGCTAAGTTTACCAGATAAACAAAACTATTTTGATGGTAATAATGTAGCTTTACA